CAGCTACTTGGGAGGCTGAGGCAGGAGAATCGCTTGAGCCCAGGAGTTGAAGGTTGCTGTGAGCTGTGAGGCCACGGTATTCTATGGACATTAATTATAATGTGGGTTTCTATGAAGTGAATCCTATACCTCATTTACTAGTGTTGCCAGATTTAGCAAATAAAAATACAGGAAGCTCAGTTTAAATTTGAATTCCAAATAAATAACAAATAATCTTTTAGTATCAGTCCCATGCAATATTTGGAACACTGTTTTTTTTAAACTTTTTAAATCATGGGTTTATTTAAATATATATATATATAAGTTCATAAAATCTATAAGATTGAGACTGACAATGATTTTTTATACTTTTTCCAGTTCTGCCAACATTCCCCTAATGCCTCCCTGATAACAATGTTATCAGTGGACTGAGGCCAGGGTGGAGAGGCACTTTCTAAGACAATTAAAGTCCCTGAGAGGGGTCCACACTCAATGTGAGTTGAGTTACAATGAGACATTAGTGATGGATGGATTTGTCAATCAAAGACATTGTTCTTCACGTTTAAATTATCTCATCTCTTCCCTAAAGTCCTTCCTCTATTCCTAGTTCCTAAATCCCTCCTCCTTCATCCTCATGCATTTTGCTCTCTCTCTTTCTTTCCCTTTTATCCTACTGGCATAACACAAGAGATACGTATGTATCTGTTAGGTACATAAGAGATACATACAAACATTTACTGAAGAGACTTCAGTAAATTCGCTTGATTTGTGGAGAACAAAAATAAAAATGATGCTCAATCATCAGTGATCAATGATGAAAGTTCACCACATTTAAGATTAAGCGCTCTAAAAATATAAGTGGTTAATCGTTGGATGCCCAAAAGCATTCTTTCTTTCTTTTCCAAGATGGTGATGATTCTTCACACATTTCCTTTTTCCATATGGGCACCTTGGCTTTTAAATGTTCAATTGTAGGAGACGCCAAGAGCCAGATGACATCCGAGCAAGATGATCTGCAGCTGAGGCGTGGACCTCGGGCCATTCATCCACAAGAGTTCCTTGTGGA